AACGCACGCTAAAGGTTTCGTGCTCTACGGATGATGCATATCGTTAAATAGAGATGTATATCTACAAGGAACGATAATGTTTAGATAGCCATTGGCCCGTTTCAGGATATATAAAGATTTCAGAATGTATAAAGATTGGCACTTTTTCTAATCTAAACCACGCAATAATCCTCAACTAAACAACTATAAGCTCATAATATACATGTATATGTCACGATGAAGTGATGGATTTAGATTTTGAAAGCCTTAAAACGCTTCTTACGAGAACGGCTATACAATGAACAGAGTGTCTCCTGTACGGTTGCCCTTACGCATAGTTTATTATAACAATGCGTAGGAGACGCTGTGACCTAATACGTTAACTACCCCATCGAACCAGTTAGTATGAAACTACATCTATATCAATGTTTATTATATGACTTCGTTGTGTGTGAAAGTTTGCGACTAATTTTAGTTATTTATAATAACTAATATAACAAAAGGTTGAAGATTACACTTGAAAAATAGAAAAGTCTTTAGATTTCAGCAGACTGGATTGAAATATGGAATCATGGACTGAAATCAATCGAATATTTGTTCGATTCTAGGTACGCATACCTGCCGAAAAAGCGCAAGACTAACCTCTATGATTACGTGTGCAAGAATGGTTCATTTGAACAGATGACAAGCGTTCATAGGTATGTTTCATCTTCTAATTACCTAAAAGAAGGCGTTAAATAAAATATAATATTATGATGATTATAGGAAGACACCCCATGAGCGCGCTCGTGAGCGCGTACGACCTTATAGGCTGAACGTTTTCTTGATTTAACTGAATAAAAAGCTACAATGACTAACGTCGCGTATTTTTTGTCGATTGCTAATATATTAGTACTTTGTGTGAGCAGTATAGCAGTCTTCTGGCCATAAGCTGGTGTTGTGAAACTTATATTGTGGCGTCTAATGCTCGGCTAAACCATATGTAAATGCCGTACAGACGATACGGGGTTCAGTACTAATTAGTCACAAATGTTCTACATTCACAAGACTAACACCGGTCTTTTTGAAAGCTGTTTTTTGTTAGGCGTATCACATCGTGAGGAGAAAGTAATTGGTGAAATCTGTTCCATTTACTAAGACGATGTGTTTTCCGTGTTTTATGCCCGCGACTTAAGCCATTATGTGCTACTTCAAACGGCAAAAAAACGGCGTGTGTACAATCGTCTAGGCTCGAACCTGAACCGCCATGTGCCCTTAATTTTACCAAACAGGTAGACTGTCCATTGCGCTATCACACACGATTACTAATACACCGGCGGAATTTAGAAATTTGCCAACTCTGTAATTGATCTTAACAAATTATGGGGATTAAAATCAGTGCGAAGATAACGGCTGCATATAACACACACACAAAGCAATATTATCTGGTTGAGACGGTAGTCGTGAATTTAATGAAAGTGAAATATATCAATATTTATCTTAAGTTGTGATTAATACACTTGGTAAGTAAGAAAGCGCGAAGAAGCGAAACGCGACAGCTCACAAAGTTTGTTTTTCGAGGTAAGCCTCAGCTGTTCTCGCATGTAGACAAGTCCTTGGAGTCACCCTTCGGTGTTGCTTCAAACACCACTATTATAGAAGGGGTCTTATCGTCTTTACCTGTTTTTTTCCAATAGACCTATGAGGCAGCATGAAAACCGCAGTAGAAGCCCTTCGTGTTTTCCTTTTTCGTAAATCAGAGGTGCGCATAAGCCACCCAGTCCGCGCTGACCAAAGCTTGCAGTATCAATTCAGTTCTTTTATCATTAAAGAACTCTCAAGTAGCACTAATTTGTACGAAGCTGAAAAGGCTAGTATATGGTAGTTAAATAAATTATTTACATTCACTTAAATAATTTGGAAAAGAAAGCCTAAAATTTATAGTGCTTTGTCCATTTCTGCTTGCTGTTTTTATTGCACTCTAGTCGAAGTAATCCCTATCAGTTTTTGTTTGCAAGCTATATTGAGAGAGGAAGCTTTGACACGGTTTAGCGATTCTTTGTTGTAAGATTCTATGAAAGGATGCGTCCCATACATCGCAACCAGAGATTTGTGAAGGTTGAACAAACTTAGGACGATTATAACGCACAGAAAATAAGACAATATAATCACGCATGAGGACATTATCGTCTTACTGCAACTCTCGCATACGTGCACAGTAGCTTTTTCAACTTTGTCGCTTCCATCAAGGTCATGTTTACCTTCAATAGCAATTCTGCGACAACAGCATCGCGCCGGGCTAGCGCTGGCTGTAGGTAAAACCAGCTAAACTCGCGCATCTCATCTTGAACAATCCAAAGTTAAATAGAATACTAGTTATTTGATGTTAGCGTCCGATTAGGCGCACCATTGGTCACTTCTCCCAAGCCGAAACCAAAACGTCAAACATCGAAATAAGAAAGGCGTTTTTCTTCGATAGAACAGAGTGGAGTTGGGGGTAAATACGCCAAAAAGAAATAAAAGTTTACTCACACTTATGAGCCCCTTCATTCGTCGATCTCAATTAACTCGCAACTAACACAAAGATAAAGTTTGATTTAAGCAAAGGTAGACCAGCATCACAGATCTAAAATATTTTCTAGAAATAAAGAACGTTTAATACAAACAAGCGATACCGCGAATAAAATTATGTAATAGATAGATAATCACCGAAATAGATCGATAATAGTATAGTTTGAATATTTGCAAAAAATAAATAACTCAAAAAACAAATCGATAAATTTCATGACAACGTCGTATAGCACACGCTTCTCTTACAATTTTAAACATTCTCGAACAATTTTCACTCACATATATAGCTGATCTTCTCATAAATCTATATAAGGATTATGTCTTTGTCAGAATTGACCTTTGGAAACGTTTTATCGCCAGGTTATCTAAGATTTCGCTTACCTGTTTTTACATTTCTTTCCACAATGATGAGCATCCCTTGGTGCTAGTTAAGATCACCGGATCTTCAGATAATTAATTGTTTATCCACAGTATACCACACATTAGGCCCATTACGATTTGTAAAGGGCTATTATTTTACATTCGATGGCATCTATAGCTTAAAAAAATCCTCGGAGTTTATAACATGCAGACACCTATTCCACAAACGTATTATCTGCATTATCCTTTTTGCTAATAATCTTTTCAACAAGTCTTTCGTTTTACAAAATGGCTGTGCATTCTGACGCGGATCGGTAGTACGATCATAGTGACCGTAATCACGTAAACGATTATAAACGGTAGGAATCACTCTGTTGAATAAACCCGAATGCCAATTTTCAGCACTGCTCGTCGCCTGGTCTTCGTTAAAGAGTTTATCGGCTTACAATTAATTTCTTCCGGATGATTATACAGCCGGATATCGACATACGCTATGATATGACCCTGATTTTTCATTGCACAGTGGCTTCTATCCGTTAACGACCGTTCTGCGGCCAACAGCGCAGAAAAAAGTTATTTTTCTACGCAGACATGAGCCAACTAATCGATGCAACGTATATACGCGATCAAAAGCAGAGTCTGTACAAAAAGATCCAGAAATAAAACCAAAGTGAGAAACATGCCTTTCGTAAGCCAATTTCACGGTTCGCTCCTTTGCGGTAAATGCCGTTGGGTCGACGGCGCGCTTTCTGAGGTCAAGATCGTGGTCAGTACGTACTGTCTTTGATAATAGCTGGAAACAGGTAGAAAGAAGGCAACTGATGGCAGGGTCAGCGAGATGAACTTCATTTAATCAACGAGTAAAGTTAGCGCTAATAATTCAGAAAAAAACTTGTTACTCGTTCAAATATGCTACTAATCATTGATGGGAAAAAAATTTGCGTCTATAAGAGAATTTATATACATTCCCTTATATAGCGCAATTAAATAGTGTGCAATTCATAGAAAAAATGTACGTGTTCGTTTTCTTTTATAGAATCCTCCATGTATGTTTTTCTTGAGAAATTTTCTGTTGTTGCTGGAAACTAGACACGCAGTAAGGAGTGATGGAAAAAAAATAAACGCTTATATTTTATATGTCTAGGAGTCATATTTATTAAGAATCGAAAAATATTCGTCTGTATCAAAATACTGAGCTTTACGATAATTAAAAGAACACAATTAACGTATTACTGTCACAATCATCAAAAATAGAAATAATTTTATTCTGCTGGTAAAAGAATCATCGTTTTCCTGCCAATCTAAAAGGTCAGTGGAGGTTACATGGTGTATCGATAAGCAATCAATTTCATTTTATGAGCATAATTGAGTTCAACCGGTAGTTATTTTTTTTTTTTGTTTTAGTTGATACTTGGACTAACCATAACAGTATCTGTACGATGTAACACCACAAATGACTTTTTTTTTTCGAAAAACGATCTTTTTCATTAATATATTTTTGCCATATGGACTACTTGCGTTTTGTTTTAGTTTTAGATCAAGCTTACGCTGTTATTCAATGCGGATGCTTTAAGGGTCACCGATTTGAAATTACACTTAACCAACGCTTGCTTTATGCTGTCAGTCAAAAATGTAATAGCAAAACAAAGAGCAGCAAACATTTGACTCAGGCAGCGTACCAACGTTTATGTACGTTCTAGTATATTATTATTTCTGCCAAATAACATGGAGCAATTTTAATCTTTAATGTAATTTCGCGAACATCGATACCATTAGATTTAGAATGTCAAATGCTCGTAGAAGGAAACTGGTTTAGCCAACATTTTGCGCAAATAAAAGGTTGATACGAAATCCAATCGAGAAAATACGCCATGACTTGACACTAATTTTCATACTAATTTTTTATGCATAATTGCACTCATAAAAAGATATTGCTTGCCATGGAAAAACTGGCAGCATGCCTCGCTCATACAGAGTGGTGAGTTATTTCGAGGTTGAAAGGGCAATATTTTTAAATTGCTCCCTTTCCACGATAACTCCATCCATTTGACACATCTTTAAAGACAACTAATTTTTTATATGTACACATTCTTCCAAGTAGATACTACAGCATGAGGACGTTCATCGCGAACATTGCTTTGTTTGCTAGCGCTTCGGCGGCCTTCAGTAGCCTTCCCAGCATTTCCAGTGACGCATCTGTCTCGTCTCGGAGTGCCGATGTACGCAACGTTTTCCCCTTTTATCTTAATTACTATTTTCAGCGCACAAGCAAATTTATTAAAACTGTATCGTTTTTTAGGACATTTTTGTGCCACTAGTTTTGGTTAACATTTGAAACATGGTATTATTATTCATATGCCTGAAGGAGTACAGTGAACGCGATGTGATGCACATACTAACTCATTATTTTCCAGCTTCATTTGATTTTTTATAGTTCGATAAGAATTTATAGTTTTTTGTTATTCTAGTCACGGTTATACACGATCGCATCAATGCAAGTAATTAGTAGTTAATATATGTTGTATATGTTTTGTCAAATTTGTGTATACCTCTATCGCAAACAGGGTCAAGGTAACTACAAATTCAGTTACAACGAAAAGCATTCAACAGGCGGCTCGTTTCGTTTAGAAAGCGGTAATGCCTATGGAGGTGTAACTGGATCGTATGGGCTTGTGGACGCAGATGGCCGTCAACGAATTGTTACATATGTGGCCGATGCAAATGGTTTTCGCGCTTCGATCAAAACTAACGAGCCTGGAACGGTGCCGAATTGGCCAGTAATTGCAGACCTTTCCTCCAGCAACCTTCGAAAGAACCCTGAAAGTAACGGTCAAGAGAGGATCATTCAAAGTACCCCGGGGATCTACACTCACTTGCCCGTGATCCCTAGTTTCGTTGGTTCTCCGCCAACGCACTCTACGCGCATCACGCATTCCGCAGCTCCCGTGGTGACTCATCACGTTCCCGTGGCGTCCGTAGCACCTGTATCGCCTCCGATCAACTTCAATACATATTCAACTCGGTCTCCGAATTTCCGCGAAGTAACACCGTTGAGTGTCTATACAGGAGTTCCCATTTTGCCTCTACTCCGCGCTACTCCGATTTCGTACTCGCATCGAGTGACTCACCGTGCTCTTGCACCCGTTTCCCCAGCTGGGCCCGTGACTGTTTCTCCGATTGGGCCTGCTGTAGCGCTGTCCCGAGTCTCGTTCCCTAGATCTAGTACTTATTCGTCTCGAATTGTCCCCCACGCAAATCAAGCCGCAAGGCCTGTCTCTTACTCTTCACAGATAGCCCACGAGGCGCAGGCACCAAAGATGCCAGCGTTCAACCATGTGTTTAAGCAAGTGGCCCCCGTACCGCTGGATAGTTCTCCGTTATTTGAGACTCCTCGCACATCTTCATTGATTGGATCGTCGGTGCTGGCTGGAACGAAGTGATACGCGTCTCTTGCAATGCTCTCCATTAGGTCTGCCGATTATGAAGGGAAATCAATATTACATTCAGTGGGGCTAGATCGACATGGAAATGTCTGAGAAATGGTGAAAGCGAGAAGTAATTCAAATATATTATATATTTTATGTGGGCGTACGCGTGAAGAAGTAAAAGTCGAATTTTAGGGGCTTTTTGAGAACCTATGTCCGTTAGGTTGAAAATGTGTTTTTTTTCATTTCTAATAGAATCGTACATGAATACATGTTGTACATGAATCATACATGAATACACCATATGTGATGTACTTCACTGCTAGACGAAGCGCATTTCACCTTCTGGATTTATTGAATTCGTTTGTATCTGGTCCTTTTCAATGCCCCAGACGACATGTTTTCAGAAAATCCAGATGAAAGGTTTTTAGAAAATCTAGTAAACAAATTGTAAACAAAAAGAGAAATTAATGAAGCTTCAACGCATCAAAGTATTTTTCTTAGCAAACTACTAAAATCTTGTAAGCACTAGTTTCGAACGCACTGGTTGTATTCATTAGATATTTAATACATTTAGTGTACTCGACCCTATAGACTGAACAGCAGTTACCATCTTACTAAAACGATGTTTCTAATTAGTATCTCTGAGGCTAGCATATAGAGCCGCAATAGAGACCACACTAATTTATTACTCATTCAATCGAAAACTAACGCCGCACCTAGAAAATTCAAAACACACGCTTCTAGTATACAGTTACACTTGTTTGCCGTGTTTATTTTATGTACATGATTTTTAACACAGTGAAATCTCCTGCTCTTTGCACACATAGTACTGAGGTGAGTCTTTATTAGATCGCATCCCTACGTTCTCATGCTTTACACATTCAATTTACTCCGTGATGTCAAGCTTTCTATCGAACGTTTTTCTGTCTTTTGTCAACATGAGCCCAGCTTTTCAAAAAATAAAATGTAGGTTAGTTTCGTTATAGCGTTACCATCGGTCTGCTTCTACTTCGTGTTCCAAAAACAAGTTAATTCTAGTTTCGAGTTTCTATGGATACCTATATATATCACTTGCGCTTCAGTGTAGGAAAAAGTGTTATTGTTTGTAATGCCTTGCGGATCGCATCTGAAATTCAGTGACGTTCTTGTGTTGAATAACGCTAAAGCTCTACATTTAAACGAACTGACAAAGGATTAGCTATATCGTATGAGTTAGAGTAATCATAGTAATATATAAGCAATAAATAATAAGTAATATGTAAATCATAATACTAAATAAGCTTAAATTTAGTCTAAATCTAAACTTTAAGTCTAATTTTCGTTACACATCTTACCTCTACACTTCTAATAGTCATATTTATTTAATGAATTGGTGAAATAGTCGATACACGTAATGAAAAATCCGCACACTACTATTTTATCAATCAAGATGTTCTTTTCTACAATAAATGGTAAGCGATCGATGTACGACGATATACAGCGTCTATTCATACGAAGATAACGTTCACCTTCTTTGACCATAATTCATTATATCAAAACAATAGCAGTCTCTGCCAAGAAAAATACAACAGAATTCTTAATATAAGAATACTGGAAATCCTATAAAAGATCTTTAATTTTCAACGACTTTGTCACGGCCTATCATTCCACACCTACTTTACCAAACAATACCTGTCTCTTACAATCACTTTTCCCCAATCACCAACTTATGATAAATCTATTAATCGAAAATATTAACTCGAAAATCACTGCTATTAAATGGAATATCGCTACACAGTTGAACAATATCAAATCGCACATTAAGTAAATTCTTACAAAGCGCACTCACGCTTGCGGATGCCTGCAACCCATTTAACAACCATTAATTAAGTCCCAATAATTAACCATTAATTAACCACATTTAGGCACCATTCGCTCTCATTATTGGCACAAAGCGCAACCGAAATTAATTAACAATTGTCCATCTCGTAGGCTGTTGGCAATCGGTTTCACCATCGGCGCAGAGTCGGTTAAACGTTGTGTCGGGTGCCTTTCCCAGAATTTCGCGCTCTTCTTGGATTCGAAACGAGAATGTCGATTCGAACGACCCGACGAAAACCTCCGCCCGTGAACAGGTAATCTGGTCAACAATAGCGATCTGACCCTCGGTTAGGCGAGACGGTGGGGAAGGCATACAGGAACCTGAAGCAAAATTTTATATATATATGTATATATATATATATGTCGTAGATAAAGAAAGACTGGTCGATGTTGTAAAAGAAGATTATGTATGTATATATAAAGATGAGATATTTTGTTAATGATAAAATATTAATGCATTGTGGTAAGTTTCATTCGACAACTACATTCGCTAGAAGTGAATTTTAAATCGTATGCACGTAGATAATGATGATAGTAATAATAATACCTTTATGCTACATAAATGATTACGAAGATCGTAAATCACCTATGGCGATATATATTTAGATATATAAGCAACTAACAGTATATTTTTGCCGGAATTTCACAGCATGTTGACTCCTTTTTCCATCTGCCAAGCTCACCTCAAATACTAATGTTATTACCGGGATGTAAATAGCCCACCCTCAGCTATTTTTTTATCAACTAATAGCAAGGTAGGAAGAAAAAAGCCCTTCATAACTTGTTCTATCTACTTCACAACCATCATTGCATGCAACAATGCTGACTTCATTACACACCTTCGATAAAGTTGCTTGAACGTGCTCTGTTCGAAGATGAGTAGGTCTCCGACACACATCTGATGTCTACCTCGGTGCCATCACCGCCTAAGCAGCTGCCGGCCTGTCTTGCTGTCCCCTTTTCCATAGCCTTGGAATCGGCTTTTCCAGGCAAGAGAGGTTCAGCATAGTGACCCTGACTTTGCGGGCACCTTTTGTCGGCACCACACGGCTGATCTAATGATCGACTGGCTCCACTACATGTTGGCTCGAAGTATGCCGTGGGTGGGATTTTAATATTCTTGTCTTGGTAAGGATTTTCACATCGCTCATGGCTTGTTTTGAGGACCCTTTCATGGACGTCAATACCTTCCTGAGTGTCGCTGCTACCTTCTTGCGTTGTACATGAGTCCTTGAGTAAACACAGCTTATCGATTGAGTTAATTGGTTCTTCGCAGCTTGGCTGAAATTCGCCCTTTTTTATGGATACATTTCTATCTTGGTATTCATTCTTACAATTTCCGCCATTTGGAAGAGGTTTTTCTTCCATTGGCAACGCCTTGACAGATTCATGGTCTTTTACAGTCCCACAGTGTTCATCCAGGGACCTGCACGGTTTGTCCAGGTCTCCTCGATTGCTTGAGCACTGCTTCGCATCCTGTCCTGGAATGGCAACACTGCTTGCTGGAGTAGGATTGTCACACAGATCATGGCTCGAGTTTTCTATGAGATTCTCGGGATTCTCAAAACGGACGCCTGCCTTGTGATATGCAACGGCTTCGGGTACCAACCTGAGGAATTCCTCAACCTCCTTCTGATCACCGTCTGTGGCCAGAAAAACCTTCTTCAATCCACGTTCTTTTAGTATCTGATTCGCCTGTTGAACGGCGCCCTTGATACTTGGTACATCATTAGGCCTCACAATCGGAAAATCAGATCTCCTCAGATGAATTGCCAAGAATTTTTCCCCAAGACGTGACTTAATAAACCTACTTGCCTCGTCTTGAAGTTCTTTGGCGAATGTCATCGACTTCCTGATCTTCCAATACTCTTTATCTCCGAATCCGTCATGAAGTACGACTTCAGCATGATCTAGCATTATCATAGAATCCTCATCGAATAATGGGGCGAGGATGTTTCCCGTTCCAGACACTTCAAGGCAGGTCACCTTCCTAGCCTTTATATTATCCTTTCCGAAAAAGTACCCTTCATACAAGCCATCCACGAGCCGGTAACCAACGTTTCGTCCACACTCAACTTTGTAATAAGTGTCATCGAATTCATCCTTTATAGGCGCGTGTTTCAGAACATAAACATTGTCCAGTAGAACGTCACCAACGTATCGATCCATAAAGTCGTTGAACTCTATCACCTTTGTGTAGTTGTTCAAGCTCGGCACATCGAAAAACAGTGACCATGGTAGGCCCGTCGGCCCCTTCCAGTGGGGTAAAGGTCCCCACGGGGGCAACACCAAAGTCCAGTTTCTTTGCTTAGCGATTCGTGCAATCCTCATATACACATCCCTACGAAGATTGAACCCTTCTGTGGGACTAACATCGTACAGGAGATACCGTTCGTCACAAAATGTCCTTAAGGGAAATGCAAGCAGAACTAAAATTTGCACGAGAGCAACTGACGGATGAACCATTTCAGAAATTCAAACTTTATATTATAGACTTGACGAAAGCTTTCTTCGACTGAACTTCAGTGTAAATTTTGGTTCACTTTTGAGGCGTTTTCAGCACAGTGCAGTGTTGTCGTGAATATAAAGTATTTCGAATTCGTTCAATCCTCGCATCTGATATGTTCACGCCGTTATTTCTAATTTAGCCTCTCTAATTTTTGCTACCAGTGTCACAAACTCACAGAGAAATACATCATTATGTTTACACTAAGTTGTGACTCCACCACATATCTGGTCGAATTCACCGAAGGGTACATTTACCATCGCACGCGTTAAAACGTCTACATTTGTCACACGTCTCAAAAATTACACCAAGCACCTCGAACAATTTGCTTAGTAACAAATACTAACATACGACCGTAGACTCCTTGATTCCAGTATATTCGGCGGCAAACCGGCCGATTTTTCAAGTGCAGTGAACTGTGCTGTAGAACAGCTGATATGTTGTGATGACGTAGAGCAGACAACTAGTGGAGCAGACTGATTAGGCTATACAGTAGGAGATGTGTAGTGTCCCAGATTACTAAAGTCCGAGATTTACGTAGCTGTGGACCCTATAGTGTTAAGAAAATGTATTAGACGTAAGGCTTAGTGTGCGGTTGAGCACTCAGCCCTATACCTCTTAAAAAATACAATGGGAAAGTTAGGCTCAAGCGTTACCTGGGTACGCAAACCAAAAGTAAGAATACGTGTAAACAGAGAAAAGACCGCTGCAAAAAAAAAGAAGGAAGTTCACTTGCTGGATTTTGAAAAAAATAAAATTTTCGTAAGCCGCTTTTGCAAATTTGTATTTAAAGTGTATATTGATTTTTTTCATCACAAAGGCAGAGAAACCGGCTGTAGATATTTTAATATGACGCGTAACTTTGAAATTAATTTTATAACATCAGTTGATTGATTTTTATCAAGGTTGTTTAAAAACGGATTGTCATCTTTTAAAATCGGTGCTTTTTTTAATACCAAGATTATAGAAAACGACTTCACAGAACAAATTAAAGGGTTCTATGAAGCTGCTATATTTAAAAGAGAGTTTGTTGACAAAAAACTGTACGCCAATAAAAATCAATATTTAAAAAGACAAAATATGTTAATTTAGAAAATCGCTTTTATCAGCTGCACCCACGACTCATAAGCAGCAGAGGAGAATAGAAAAGTTAAAATAGCAAAAATATCAGACGTTATAATTTTTTACCACGGTGTGTTGAAACGATGAGGCTGTAATGAGATCACGTAATTTTTTTATCCTATTTTATCATAAAAAATCAAAAACTACAATCGGCCCAGCCAGGTGTCTTTTCTTAGACAAATATATATGCATGGGTTTGAAGTTATGTTTTTGTCTAATTTTTCGTTTAGTTAAAAGTAATGTTTTCGTTTAAAGGAAATAAAATCGAAGTAGCTTTTACATCGATCGAAGTAACCTGAACAATCGAACTATAACGTTTTCTCAACCTAATATTAATAAGTAGCGTTTCCTAACCTATGTAATATGTAAAATGGTTAAAACTAATACAAAATTTTCGAAAAAAAATAATGCTTTTTTACACACGCTGTAGTTTGGATTCTGGGGCTGAATATATTTTTTCTCGAACTTCTTTGAAAACTACATAAAAGCTGGCAATAATGTACATTGTCAATTTCGAGAAAAAAAGTGAAGTTTTTGATCTCAGTGGAAGTTTATCCAATGGTGAAATCTAGAATCAATAACTGATCTTCGCTTAAATCCTACAAATGACGCCCTGTTTTTCCCCATCAGGAATATGTTGTTTTGTTCTGGAAAAGAATTTTCTTTTGTCTCGTATGAACAATAGCAGATGAACGTATGCCCGTTATGACAAGCAGCCCGCCAAAATCTTTCCCAATTCAAAGACACCACCGTGTATATATATATATATATATACTTATTTAATATATATATGTATACACACGTATATATATACGTACGTGTATACATAATTAATATCTATTACTACTGTAGTACCATGCTATGGGACAGCCCGTCCCAGAAATAATTTCTAAAAGGAAAACGGTTATTAGCGCAAGTCGACTTCTAAAAATCCGCTTAATAATAACCTTAAGTATAACCTTTCTACACTGTTGGTAACGGCCTATTTTTACATTTTTAGATGGCTTTACAGCACACGGGATTGAGGACTAGCGAATTTAAAATCTTGTAGCTGGTTGTACGGATCTCCGAAACTCGTTGTTCGTAGTTGCTTGGAAAAGTTTTTTTTTTTTTTTTTTATAGAGGCAGTCATCTACATAAGCTATTACAAGACAAACAGTTTCAAAAAACAAGCCAAGGTACTACTGACAATATAATAGCTTCTCTATGGATACACTTTCAAAGCTGATATCCTTTTGTCAGTAATTCTGACCTAGATAGGATTATTTTGGCATAGCGTTGTGCTTTGTGTTTCTGCGAGTACTAGATGCCTCTGACATAGCTTATGAGAATTTTTAGCTATTATTTTCTAGACTCTAATAACAGATGTGGAAATAATTCGCCGCTTTATTGGTTCAAGCCACCTAACTAACAAGATATTCGTACAAAACATTACTGTAGCAACGAAAACTACGCCGAAACTAATAGGTAATTAAGAGTAATACGGTTATTCTTGTTATTACCGCTAAATAATTCAGACGTTTTTGCGCTCTACACAGAACATATTGCTAAGAAAAAAAAAAAGTATTGATTACCCCGTGCATGCTCTGCTAGTACAAACAAACTTCTCATGTAGGTGGCATTTTTAATTTTAGCAACCGTCTGTTACTGTTTCTTATTTGCTGTTGCTATTATTAAACTTTGACATGATATTGCATTGTACTCCCGAATACACAAAGAATTAATTAGCGAACGTCACCAGCAGTCGTATTCTATTCATTTGGTATAAATGCGCATAGGTCTCAGATTATTTTGTTAAATCTGCCTAACACAGCGTTATGCTAAGAGCCCTCTAGGTGATGTTATCGTGTCTGATACTTCACATGATTTTGTAATGTAAAACCTGGAAAGAAGGATTTTACCGAACACATTTCTCACTTCATTAAGGATCACTCTGTATGAACTGGGTGCACACTGGCACACAAATGAACATAGAGAGTCTATTTTCAGACATTTTTCACTGAACGCTCTTTACATAATTGCATTTATAAAACGCAGAGGAGCCATTGGCCTCCTAAGGGAAAAACGGTAAGAACACAAACGTGTCGGATTTGAATTATATAAACCATTTTGTTTTAAGTGGTCCTTAATTGTTTCTTTTTTTGGTAGAAAAGAGATACAATTCTAATTTGACCTGTGAGCTAATTGGGTTCAACTTTTCCTTCTGTCGGGTAGCCTAACCATATTCTGTACGGACCGAAGAAAGAACGAAACCTTCACGGGCTAAAAACAAGTATCTATAAATTGTGCAGAGCATTCTTTTTAGCACGTTTTGTCGCCAATGTAAAATTGACTGAGAACAGTTGTGGAAAATATAGCCATTCGGAAAGGATAATATAAGCTAACTAAATCAATTGTCCATTTAGGTTGTAAGCCATTTCACGATGTTTCTTAAAGGCTTCATTTTGTTCCTTTCTAGTCGAAAAATCGAAAAAAAAAAGTTGATTCCACCGTCGACTGGTAGTTAATGTATATAGTCAAGCAGGTATATGATGCATCATTTTTTTTTGTTTTGACATATTTAGTTGCGTAAATAGATGATCGTCTATAGACTATCCGTTACACTACCCCAGAATCTTAGACAAATAATCCAAGGTAAACTCGAGTTGTTATGTTCTAAATGACCCCTAGTAAGTTTCCTTTTTAAATGAGAATCGTCTGCGTCGATAAACAACAGAAAACAATGACTATTACCTTTAAACCTGTTTGCGCCATAGTAAAATTGTGAGAAAGGTAAATCTTTTGAAAATTATCAATAATTGCATTTTTTTTTCCCGATTTACAAATACTTCCAAAGACTTAATTTGATAGAGTACCATCTTCGGTCAATATTGCGATTTGCTTTGTGGGACCCTTAAAACGTCCTGTGTGCTGAATAATTTGCTCAAAGTCTACGAAAGTGACTTTACGGATGTTTCTCGGTCGAACTTTTTTTTTTCGGTCTACCGAGCTATTGTTGACTTTTCTACGCAATACTTCATAGAACAAAATTATTTTTTCTTTCTAGTTATATATATATATATATATATAGCTACTGCATCGCCTGCAAAAGGCGTTGCTAATGTGTGCGTCCAATTATTAAAACGGCAATAATAGTAGTAGTAGTAGTAGAGATGTGTGACTATCACATACTCAGCTCGAGAGCTTCTGTCGTTCTGCTGACTGAGTGATAAATGCCAAAAAGAGGGGCTGTCACAATGACTGGACATTTCTGGGCCATTTTGTTCTCTTGAATGGACATACCGAGTGATCAACCAATTTAGAAATATTTACATATTACAATAGAATTTACAAATTATAAATATGTGATTCTATTGCTCTACTGCCAAAACGTATCGAGTACTTATAGGCTCGTTTTCTAATGTACTACTCTAGCCCTCTCCGCCCATAACATCAAACGCATTGTTGCCCGCCACACTATGAAGCAGACGCTTCCAGTTTTGCTATATACTGCTCCAGTCTCTTCTGTTATTGTTGTTATTATTATTATTCTTATAATTTTACCGTCTGTAAGAGTAGCATTCTACAGTTGTCAGCGGAAAAACTAACCAACAATCAAATACGGAGTACGTCACATCCTTTGCGAACGATTTTAAGGTTTTTACCAGAATCTCTTCGTTTTCAATGCTCTTCTTTTGTTCGCTACTTCTCCTTGATCCGTAGTCAATAAATTTTCCCCTTGGAAAAGCGCTTCCCTTTTATTGCCAAGCTCGATACACCCTTTCTAAAACAGTGCAGCCCATCCCGTTGCAGTCGCCCATGCGACCAGTTCACAGAACGCGAGTCGCCCCGTGTAAGAGAGGGTGCTCCTCTCGGCTTTTGTTTTGGTCTGGTTGCCCTAGCAACCGTCTTTTCGGCCTACCAAGCTCGTTACTTGCCGCTGACCGATCTGTAGCTCTGAGCCGCTGTTCGCTGTTGTAGGCTGGATCACTACCGAGCGCTGGGAGAAGTCCTTCCCGTTGCTGTTAGCTCCGGCTAGCGTTGATATCACCGTTGCTCCCTAGTTCCCGTCGCTACGGACTGTGTGAGGCGCATTGTGCTGCTGCTGCTGTAGTAACTATTGTTGTTGTTGTTGTTGTTGTGTTTTGTACATGTGTTGTTCTTATGAGTCGTCGCTGTGCGTTGCTTGTGGTCGTTGATATGATTAAGGTACTAGTAGCAGCAGTAGCAGGCGCGAGAATAATAGAAGCTTCAGTAGTTTCAGCATAGGGGAGGCCTGTCCTGTCTAGGGAGAGAGTGTTCTGGATTGGCACAATAAGAAAATATCAGGACAGTGAGCGGTGCGGCAGTCCTGCCAGCAGAAAATCTAGCCACAGCCTGCCCCCTGCCTGAAGTCGTTTCGCTGCTTGACTCGTGCCTGGTGACGATTAGCCGTACTGCATAGAGGCTACTAGAATGTGCGTAGCCGGTAAAACGCTGGCGTAGGAAAGCGCCAGAAAGAGCAGTTCGCTCTCGATTGGATTTTGGGTCTAGGATGGAATGGTACATCATCTAGAGGTACCATAGGCTTCACTGTCTATTCTAATGAAGGCACGCCAGAAGCATTCACTGCCCGACTGTTCTCTCAACTGAATCTCTTTATATGTTAAGCAATGCATAGGCTGTCGCTGAAGGATAAAAAAGTTTACTAGCAGTCGTTGATGGTATTTTTATTAGCACGGTATGGATGACAGTAGTGGCGATCGATCTCGTTTTGATATCTCTATCGTGATGATAGTTGTCTTGATGACCGGCTGCATTTCCCATTAGAGTCTGTCTTCAAATCAAATTTGAACGTACCTATCAGAGTGTACAGTGTATCTATCGTGTTTTTCAAAGAACAACTACTCCATGTACGAATACGTTGTAGTTCAGTGGTTGTGTTTTGTCGAGCGCTGTTTTCGATTTTTGCCAATATCTAGTGTCGGATCCCCTTTTCGAAGCACATCTTGTTGACGGAGCGATCATCGGCTAAGTGCGCAGTGCAAGTGCTGGTGCGGTTATCACATCGGCGTACTCGTCGCCTGCTAGCGCCCGTCGGCTAGCCTGACATTCATTCCATGGTGCATTCTGCTGGCCTCGGTGCATCATTGCCGGTCTCCTAGACTACCATAAAACCATCACCATTAGTCGTCCATGCCTAACAACGTCGCAGGGCAAAGGGTCGTTATTGTGGCCGCAGACAACGAACGCCTCAGCTGCCACAGAAACAACAGCAACGAAGAGTAGTACAGGAAACACAGAAGTGACACCAACGCCATCATCATCACCATCATTACCGTCCAACATCGTACTGGTTGTGACTATTCTAACTCTCGTCATCACCATCATCACAATCATCATCATCATAATCATCACTATCATCACTACTATCACCATCATCATCACCGCCGGCATCGACATCAACAACTACGCCGGTATAAACACTGACATAATAAGCAGGTTACTCCGATTAGTAGGCCTCGACAGCAGGAACCGTCCTTGGAAACTGTTACCTTGGTAAGTTTTGCTGCGGTGTGAAGGGATGCAGCACTTGGTACCATATAGGCAGAAGGATGCTTCTTAATATTATTATATGGGAATCATGACACACGCATACTATAAGGCTCTCTTGCTAAGCATAGCTAATGCTGGTTTTAGTGCAATAGATCTCTTTCATTGGAAAACGTTTTAACAGCAAGAGCAGGACGAGGGGCGCGAGCTGAGCCAAATTCGTTTCAACATTAGCGTGAAGCGCAAAGTTCTGCAATAACGAACCACTATGAGAGTGCGTGAATATATATTTAAGTGGCAGATTACGGACAAACTACAGTAAATTCAAGCGCGAAGACAAAATTTTCGGCTCACGTGTGTGGTGCGTGCCATCTATACGAAATATGGATACACTGGTAATTTGTCTATACGACCAACAAACTTTATTGCTATATTGATTTTATGTGGAGAAGCTGTACACTGAAGCTCGGCAATTCCGGATAGCCTGGGACTTAGCATGAATCCTGTGCTCTGAAAGGTTTATTCAACAAATACTTGAGTTTTACATCTGTTAGGCTTTGCTTTACACGGCTGCCGGATCGTCCTATCTAAAAGCAAAATATATACTCGCCTGGTCTCGATTCTGGGCCACCTCACATGTTCCTGAGTTTAGTAGGCGAACGCTTTACGTGCATCATCAAGTGAGCTGAAAACGTTACCTACTTGTATATTCCGAGACTTGTAAGGAAATGGACGTCACTCACGATATTCACGACCCCATCGAACTTACGTATGCAGAATGTTATATTATAAATGATGCCCAAAAAAAATATGTGGTAATCTTTTGAAGGAATGTTTCTGCTAAATCACTCTTTTGTGGTTTATGGTTCTGTTAATTACTCATTTTGAGCAAATATTTGTGGCTGTCAGTTACGATTGACTATTTTGATTATACCATTATTATTATTAGTTGCAGCAAAAAACAAGTACCTTAAAGTAATCGCGCGAATGATGCATTACTAGTACGGACTTGTTATTAACATTTGTTTACAGTAGTATTAGTCGAACGTGCAGCAGATCTAAATTAATTTATCTCATTAAAGCGCAACACTATGGGCAGAGTTGCGAACCCATAGTAAAGGACTCAGTCTTAACTTTAAGTCAGTTAACAGCGCAACTTACAAAATAAGTTTAATATATTTCATAAATTACCGATTCTGTTAAGACACATTTCATATGCATTATCATTCGTACGAAGTAATATAATTAGATAAAGGCAAAGCATATTTTCATATACTAAGATCTCTTAGTCATCAGTCAATATGATGTAATATAGCTCCATTCACAGGTTACAAGCATTACCCAAAGCTTAGCGAAGGGCCACGTTTAAACATTTATCGATTGCATATATATCACATAATGCTTGAGCAGATACCATTACATGCCTGCTCAAAAAATAACAGGTACGCCTGGTAGTCGTCAGCGTTCTTATAACACTTCCAATTCACTGGGAAGCGTCACTGTTAGAAGGGTATCGAGGAAAGGACACTAAGTTTGAGAAGAGTCTAATTTGAGACGATTATAATAGATGTTCTCTGACTCTTCTGTGAAAGAGTACACCCTGATGTTAAACGGGAATAATCTGGAAATTATTTACAGGTGTTACCATTTTCGTGTAATACGTATTCAATAAGTACCTGTTCTTAAACGGTTGTCATGGTTTTATATTTCATGTGGCGTGAAGTGCTATTGTTCTAAACGCACATTATTAACTCCTTGGAATTTAAAATGTCCAAGAGACAGAACCCCGTTGTTAAGACAAAAATTATCTCTTGTGACTCCTACCGTTAGAAAAGAGGGTTTAACCGTTTCTTGTACACATTCACCTGTCGCTTTTTGATTGGCACTCCCTAAAAGCCCTTTTCCAAAATACGCTTTCGGGCGAATTTATTTTTTATTTATCGTATGGGTCTTAAAGAAAATATTACGGCATCGGTGTTTCTCTGGACGTCTCAGATAAAAGCCGTCGATCAGTCCTTGGAGCTATGAACCGATATCATAATACCGGAACGTTAAAAACGTTGGGACGGTTGTTTAGAGCGTCCCTGAAAGTAATACAGTTGATTCATTTGTGAATTATTTCAGTAAACATTTGTGGAAATATCGTCTGCTGGTATAAAGCTCAATATATCAGTCACACCAAAACATATCAGGCAGCGAAAGGGTACCACTCTGCGATAACTAGGAACCAATTACTGTCACATACAGTTATCCTAGTGAATATGTGAATAATCGAGTATCTAATGAAGAAGCGGCAGGGTACATCGCATAGTCAACCATAACAAAAGCACTTATAAAAGAATATCTAACCACTTTCGTGCGCCATCATTATCCTGATACATCTTGATGGCGTGGTCTGCTGTACAAGCTCGCTGAATTCGTTCACCCGATCCGTTGATAACAATCCTACGACCCTTTTTTCACCATCTAATAACAACCTCACAGAAACGTCCGTTGTGACAGTACCAATTGTGTCCCTGCGTGTGAACCCCCCTGTTCCGCTTGGTGAATAACATCTGCGCGCTGAAATCCCAAACTCCCTCACCTCCCACGAACCACGGACGCACCTCTGGCCCCAAAATTGCTAACTTCAACGGATCGGCTTAGCATTCACGCCTAACCTTTTGGCGGACGCTTGTTTTTGAGCGCGCCAACAGAACATTGTTTGTGCCAGCAGCGAAAAACGATTTCCCGTTGTCTCTTAATCTGGCTGAACGCGTGCGCATAAGGGGTTTCAGAGCTGGAGTTGTATGTAGAGGGATTTTGATGCAAATGGGGACAGTTACCGAGCATGAAGCCGTTATCTGTCGGGCTAGAGTTGATGAGTACCATCTGATAGACAGATGAAAGGTTGCGGAAGACTGCCAACAAAGAGAGTAACGAATTCAACTTCAAAATAAAAGCCTTTGATGATGTGAAATCTTTGATAACGCAAAGTTACTGCATTTAGTTACGGGTGAAATGTAGAACTCGTAATTTGTGCAACGTTCAAATGTTGAGCTAGAACACGTAATATTGGTGTTATTTCATTGTTAAACCTAGACATTATTATTATTGCTACCATTATTCTTTTATAACTTGACAAAGCGATCGCCTTGGCTACAGATCGTCGTTAGCCCGCGCATCATAATTTAAATCAGTACCAACTGTACAATCTCGTTTATCCCTGCGTGCGTTCGTTCGTTCGTTTCAATATTATAGACGGGATCCATTGCTGTGTATACCTCTGAATATACTTTCGCGCTAAAATGGCGAGATCCGGTCCTCTACGCTGTTCTATTTTCTATGTGGTCAAAAGGGGGAACATTCACTGTACATGCCTGCTTACGGCGTCGCATAGAAGGGTAGCTCAGGTTGCCAGGAGTCGCGACAAGGATATCAGGCTATGCTGCTATGAGTGTTGCTCGGAGATGAAACTCAGAAGGACCGACCACTTCAGCAGCAGCGATCAATTCAGAAAGGACGGGTTGCATCCGAAAACGAGGAGCATACAGGAATCGCGGCGAACAATTTAAACTACCAGCAGGAATAACGTGTCCCCTATGCCTTTCATATCGGTTGAAATGCATATTGCCATGACACAGTACGCAGTTCAATGAGAAACCGGGCCTTGTAGAAAGGTAGGACTGGAAGGCAACTGACTAAAATTGAAAGATTACTCATTGATTCATATGGTATACACAGTTCGGCCGCATCCTTTTGTTAACAGAGCTCTTAATTAACTTATGTGACGCATATATTTAGCAAAATATGAAGACATGACGTTTTATAGGGAGTTTCTTTTCATATTCCCCACACATTTTCTATATGCGTAGGTATATTTGTTATATTTATGGGTAATTCTATGGGATATTGAAGAAATTCCTTGCATTACTCTAACCTCACAGATACATACACTTCATAGCTGCCCTGCTAGATGTACTCGCTTGTGTCATACTAGCACTACTTTCCTTCAAATAAATATAAGCTTATTATAATTGACTCCTTTCAGCTGATCCCGAAATGTATGCAGATTAATAACAACCGAATGGGCAAAAGATCGTTGCAAAAATAGAAGTGGATTGGCACCTACCAACCAGAACTGTGCTACGTTAGATGCACTGTTAGGAGAAATGTTAGCCCTCTGTTTTATAAATCTATCGCCATTTTTGTAATGAATCACATTTGACCTAAAAATATTTTACCAAAACAAGCCATTCAGCTAAATTTTTTTACTGTCAGTATTTACTGCAAAAAGTTGGCATTGTTTCGAGTCTACAAAATTAGCCATACACAATCAATAAATATGTTTGTGTATACAGATCTATCTTCTGTTAATGGACCGCAAGACACTCAGGGAATTTTGTGTTTGAAGCAGCTACCCTAACTTATCATCGCTTCAGAAGGTTGGCGATCCCTTCTAGCATAAAAAAGCGCTGTGTGTCTACATTCCGGTTTCGATCTAAATTACTCTTAGCTAATTGTCCCTAGCTCTAGTAGAAGCAAACACGTTAACACTGCACCATCATGAGATCAAACATTTCTCAACAGAAATAGACCAACCTTCCTATCTGTCTGATTTATTCGCGAAGAGTAATTTTTTATTTTCTGTTGTGCCTTGCCTTGTCTCTGGCTTTCTTTCAGAAAATGATGAATGGGGTGGCCGCAGGTACTGGTGGGGGTGTCCCGCCAATGGCCGAGGCGGATGCCCCTACGGGGGCCACGCCAACGGTTCAAATCACTACCGACGAGCAAGGCAACTCCACGTACTTCCTCACGACAACAACTTCGGCCCAGCAGGCTGGTCAGTTTACGGCGTCTGCTAGTGGCGCTGTGCCAGCGACAGCTACTCAAGCCTTTGTTTACTGCACGAGCAACCCCGCTGCGGCCGGAGGCGCGGCGGACACCGTGTTCGCGACGACAGGAGGGACGACATTCTATGCAACTACAGCTGAAGGTCAACCCGTGGCGTTCGGGACACCAGCCGAAGCGACAGTTATCGATGGACGTACTTTGGTCGAAGAGGGAAGCCCTGTCGAGGGAGCGCAAACGGCGTCGATTCGTGATATGGACATCATCCACGTGCAATGGCTTATTGACAACTATGAAACAGCTGAGGGAGTCAGTTTGCCGAGGTCGACCCTGTACAACCACTACCTGAGGCACTGCGCCGAGAACAATCTCGATCCGGTGAACGCGGCTAGTTTTGGCAAACTAATTCGAAGCGTGTTTCTTGGCCTAAGAACGAGACGCTTAGGAACGAGGGGTAACTCCAAGTACCACTATTACGGCATTCGCGTAAAGCCTACATCGCCGTTAGCGGCACTTCTTAATGAGGACTCGGATTCAAACCCACCGCCACCACCAGTGCTAACTAAGTCAAAGTCGACAGCGGTCAAACGGACCGCGGACGGTACGCCCGCTAATTCACCAGAAGTGAAACCTAAGGTTGAAGAAGTGACCGATGCCAATCTCGCCGAGATTAGTTTGCAAGGAAGCAAAAGCTTCTTGGGAGACCCCTCACAAGCGTTGCCCTCACAGCTAATGATGGTTTTGATGTCTGGCGAAGGCGAGTTTATGGACGAGAAGGAAGCGTACAATTTCACTTTAAACTACCGTGAATACTGTGAGGCGTTGCTCGACCTTGTTGTCAACCTGCAATTCCAAAAAGTATCCTGCCTTTGGCAGCATTTCTTTTATACAAATCCAGCGAACGCTGAAGAAGAAAAGAAGAAAGAGCATTTGCATCGAGTTCTTACCTCACCTAGTGTGCTGTCCTTTCTACGGACAACGGACACACAATTCTACCAGAACCTCGTGCATGTTCTTATACCAGACGTGCTTCGGCCTGTACCTGGGGCTTTGACCCAAGCAATTCGAAATTTCGCCAAAAATACGGAACAGTGGCTAAATTTCGCTATGCAGGGCTGTCCCGAAGACGCTAAAAAGATCAAATTGTCCATCGCCAACTCGTTCGCGCAGACGCTACGCCGGTACACATCCCTAAATCATTTAGCGCAGGCAGCTCGTGCGGTGCTACAAAACGCATTTCAGATCCAGCAGATGCTCTCCGACCTGAACAAAATTGACTTCCGCAACGTCCAAGAGCAAGCGTCCTGGGTTTGCGAATGTGATCCTACCCTAGTCAAACACTTCGAGCAGGATTTCAAGCGACAGCTTGAGAGCCAAGCAGGACTAACTGAATGGGCTCAATGGCTTGAGCAGGCTGTCGACCGTGTTCTCGAGAACTCTATCGACATTGTCAAGTCCTCACGGAAATTCCTTCTAACTTGGTCCTTCTATTCGTCGATGGTCATCCGCGATTTGACGTTACGTTCTGCATCGTCGTTTGGCTCGTTCCATCTAATTCGGTTGCTATTTGATGAGTATATGTTCTACCTTATCGAACAAAAAGTGGCTCAGGCATTGGAGAAAGCGCCAATCTCATTAAATGAAGACCTCACTCAGGGTGACCTCAGTATGTACGACCCTACCCAATATGAGGTAGTCTTACCAGATGGTTGCGAAGTCGGCAAAGATGGACAGAGCTGAAAATGTATACGAACAGACTGTTATACAACTGATCTCCAATTTTAAAAACAACTAAAACGTTGAAACCAATGAGTCAAAATACAGGAAATAACGAAGATTAGTGCGTTAGCTATAAAGCCATAGCTGATGAGTAGAAAATTCCTACATAATGGTTTGTATATAATTGAGAAGGCGAAGAAAGGTTAAGCGGGGAAAGTGCAAAAGAACTTTACTGTCGTGTAGTAAGTATTTGTAAGATTAACAAACCCAAACCCATCAAGTGTTTTAAGGGATTAATGCCAACTGTTTTGACGATTGTAGGATGGTTAAATAAAACTTAGGGCAGAAGTGAGCATGATCACAGCTGGGAATTATTTCTACTCCATAAGCTTTTGGCAAGCACGCTATGGATTTTCGTTGAAGTTACATGTCGGGTTCTCATATCCTTACGTTAACTAAAAATTGTGCTTAACGTGTAATTGTTTCTACAAGAGGCAGTATATAGCGGATGAGTTTGCACATTTTTATTTTTTTGTGATCTTTAGCTTCGCTCTGCGTCCAGAGGCTCTTTCACTTTTTGGATCGCTTACCGGTGAATCAAAAAACTAAAAAAGGCTTATTCTTTAGAGAATTTTTAGGTTTGTGCTAAAAAAAAACTGTCCATCTGAAATTTATAGCAACTATGTTCGTAACAACCTTACCTCTCCAAATCGGAAGCAAAATATTTGATCTGTATCATTTTCAGGTCCATATATTAGGGAGCATAATGATATTCTGAATGATATGAATATTTAAAAATACTACATCGGTTAAAAGCAAAAGGTTAAAAAAACTACATTTATTTTACTCAGTTCTTGCCGTACATGTCCTAACTTGTGCTTATCGACAGAACGGAGCGAAATGATTACCCAAAAGTATTCTAATAAATAACAAAGACAGTTACGTGAAGGCCATCGCCTCTAACGATCTCAAAGGAAGGGAGAGTGCAGAGTTCGCTAAAAAGTGGTAGAAGATAAGCCCGCCAAGAAATTTAGAACGATAAAGTAGTATTACTGTTAATATAACTGGCTGAAATATAAAAATGCGGAGCATGGTGACAACAGCAGTGCATCAGCTTCGTACCGAATGAAAGACTCAATCGGTGCATAAGGGCCTTTATTATTTTCGTGTCTTATAAAATTAACCTGCGAAATGTTGTGCCAATAACCAGAGGTGGCATACGACAGCAACGAGGGCAACCGCATTTTATTAAAACGACAGGCAGCAAACATGTCAGGAAAACTGACATGTAAAATCGCCAATCGTATCATTTTATCTTAGCATGTAATATGCCCCAAATAGGAATGAAAGTAAACGCACCATTATTTTGTTATCTGTTATAAAAAGCTCTGCACCGTATTTTGTGATCATTTCCTTTTGAGTTATTGTTGAATTACCCATGATGTTTAATCGCCCTTCAAACTAGGTGTAAACAAGCAAAAAAGAGGCCAAGAACGTGTAATCTAAAAAAATGAAGATAACAAAAAACAAGGGGGAAAACGAACGTTGTAGAAGATTATATTATACATTGACATACGTGCATAAATAGAAGCAGTTTTATTTTTATTTTAGTTTAAATAAAGGACTTTGAGGGAGGAAAATATGTATAATGGCAGCCTTCTAGTGATAAGTTTATCTAACTAATTTAATGAAATTTTGTATTTAGAAATTGCTTCGAATTCGCGTGATTCGATAATTTACACAGTTTAAAATCTTGAATGCGTTTGTTTGTTTACATAGCTATTGCATTACGAAGCTGTCTTTATCAATAAGTGTATATAATACTCCAATTCTCGTTAGCTTGGGTGGTGCTAAAAATACGCTTAGTCGGTGGAAAACATTTGAGAAAATTTATTAGCAGTATCAATTTTTGGATTTCTTTACGTATTCAAGTTCAAAAATCGCGTTCCATGGAATAAGAAAAGCCATAACAAAAGCATAAGGAAAAATTTGTAAGTGTAGGATCAAGGAGTATTGTTATCCTGTTCATCTAATTTCTGTTACGTCGAATCATGATTTCCTTTGATTCGCCATAAGCAGTTAAGTCTAATTAACGAAATGGTAAACATCATTTAATTATTATTCTGATCATTTTTTTGGTGCTAGTTGAAACTCTTTATGTAACTCTAGATGGTAGACACAATATATACATATATATACGACATAAGCACAGGTCGGCTTTTTATAGTCGTTGATGCTGCTAGGTAAATCCAGGTCTTGTAGACACAAATTATATAATATAATTATATTATAAATAATTTTACAAACATCATTTACGGTATATACTGTACAATCGGGCGTCATGAAAAATAAAAACGAAAAATCTTATGCGCCTATACTAAACCCGTGAGCTACGAGTAGGCAAAAAGTTAATAAGGTTTTTACACTCTGTAAATAGAATACTAATGAAAGATAAAATCAATGCTCTGACTCCATCTGGAGTATTGAGACTAATAAAGTAGTGCAAAATTTGTCTGCATAAGGTGGTGCATCAGGACCGAGTAGTTTGACACACAGGGTTGTTCGAACGTGCCTTCTTAGGACGAAAAGCATACAGCAGAGAAAATATAAGGATAAAAAACGGATATTCACATAATTTAGAAAAAGAAAATATTAGGTGTCATTCTTCAAATATTAGATATATGACTTAGTTTTGTGATAGTGCGTTATTATAGCTTTTAGGAACAGTTCTAAAATTCGTATACGGAAATGTACAATTAGGTTTGGAGTCGAGTAAGACAGAAGAATACAGTAAACAAGTAAGTTCGCTATAAGTCGGACAAAAAAGTGGTTTATTTTGCCGTTCAAGAGGCATTTGTCTTAATCGTGCGTCGAATGTACGTCCTTTTTATGTTTAGTTCATTCGATATGCTATAATAGTAATATAGTAAAGACACTTCGTTTCGTGTCTACCAGCCGTACTAAACACTGTTTAGCATCGGAATAAGATAACAAAACCGAAGGCATTTTCATGGATCATTGAGATTTTTTCAATTGGCTATCCCACAAATTGAACGGCAAATTATTTTATTGACAGTATGTGTCTAAAAAATAACCGAACCATGTTTACTGTACCGTATGCAATTATGATAATATAAATATAGAACACAAATCAATGTAGATGTAATAATAATATGCAAATTAGTTTTTTGTTAGACAAAAAACACGGATTAAGAGCTAATATTTACCGGTCTTGTCCTTCTCAAACCGCATCTTCTGTTTAGAGATATACTGGAATTTCAGATTTTGGAAAGACCTAAAAGGTATCAACAAAAATGTATCAACAGGACGCTTCGCTGCAGACGGTTTAGCGATGATTCGTCGCTAGGCTCGATGTCTCGAGCTTTACATGAGGCACAGCCGTTACGCATTTTACAAGATATCTAGCTCTTCCGAGCATGAAATGAAAGGTGTTTATGCCTAGGCTTGAACTTAGGCTAGATTATATATAGATATGTAAATAGTTAGAATGTATCCATAAAATTAGCACGTAAATTCGTTACCTATATGCTGTAATGTAAGGGGGATATCATAGCTAGGGTAGTAATGTCATACTCTCGAGCATACACGCTATTCATAAGATAAATTTCAGTGTAGCCAAACTTGTACTCGTATTTTCCAAGGCACTGTTTGCCGCGGTTCGTACGGATGAGAGCGCAAAAACCTGCAACAGCCTCCATATTTTCCAGATATAGCATCTGGTGATTATTTCTCTTTTAGAGGTCAAGGAACGCTTGAGAAGAAAAAGATCTAACCAATCAAGCAAATTTATCGTGAAGTGAGGTTTATAATGTATTCCTATGATTAAACTTAATGATTGTTTTGAAAACTAAGAAAGTGATCGCTATACGAGCATTGAACGGATTGCTTCGAATGTAACAACGGAGGTTTCGGTGACTAAGGCGTGTGCACTTGGTGCAAAGCTAATTTATTAATACTTTTTTTTAACACAATAATATCCTGCACCTCGATTCTTTGCTATGAGGAACCAATATTGTTAATCGGTCAAGTTGAATTACTCGACGAAAAGATGAAGTGAACACTATCATAATATATCTAAACTATATAGGACCTTGTTCAATATTACAATTGACTAGCTTCCTAATAATGTCTGGAGTGTGCCTAAAAAATAATCGCCGCAGTTATCGTAGTTTAGGTAGCTAAACACCATAGAAATATATCGTGCTTTTTAGTCACATTCTTTAAGTAGTAGTACAAATGGAAATAAGCAGTCGTTAACACTAAGTACTAGGACCTCTTGCTCTATATTTTAGCAAAACTAAAAATGCAATAGAAGTTTTTTCTACATTACATCGGGTCTTCCTATCAGTATAGCTTAACCCTGAGCTCTTACCTTAATTGATTAATAATTTAATTAATTACCCTAATTTGTTAGATAACGGTCACAAGCATAATGTTTGCCTTCCTGCCCGTCGTCACCTTTTAAAAAGCGCTTTTTCGAATAACATTTAGTTCTAAAAAGCTTTAAAAAATGTAAAAAGCTTTTTTCTATAAAAGATAAGAAGTGCTTTTCTAAAAATTTCAAAAATTTTAATTGTTTTTCAACAAAACATATTTTTGTGAAGAAAACAAGAAACGTTTTTCCAAAAAAAAATTAATAAACGATTTCCTAGAAAATCTAAGAAATTTTTTCATTTTAATAAAAAATGGGGTTTGTTAATACAACGAGTAATTCATAGCCAGTATCCATTAAATTAAGGGTTTCGATTGTTACGTCCGAAATAGCCTGTAGCCAGTGGAGCCGAATGGTTGGTTTTCAAGCACTACAGGCATACTCCAGGCATCTAGCATACAATATGTGTCCTGTAAAACTCGTAGGTTAGAACGTTACCATTAAATTAGACTAGACTAGTACTAGACTATATAAAAAAGATAATTTCCTTTCTTGATGCAAAAATAATATGAAGGTTATCACTACCGACATTTTGTACTTGTTTGTTTGCTTGGAGAGAAAGGGCAGATATTCAAACAGACCGCCGAGGTGGCAGACGATATTATCTGCGCAGAACGATGGAAAGCCCCCAACGTAAGTTCTTCTTCTGTTGTGTTTTGCGTCTGGTACTTGAGCTATTAAGCAGTACTAGTACTTGCTGGCTTCTGGCAGGGCAAAACGAAATCTGCCTACGCCCGGGTCTAAATCTAGATCACCTTGTGTTCTTAAGTTTAACGGATAAATACATCCACTGCGTTACCTCAGCTTTTTACAAGATTTGATTCCATTGTTAAGCTGTCGTTCAAATTTCACGACAGCTGCGCTGACCTGTCTGCCGTAGCAATATCGCTATTATTAAATTTACATAAACAAAAACTATTTTATTATCATTCTTTATAAATATGTGAAATAAAATTTTTGAGCTTGTATCGGCTATTTCGAAGTCGAGCTCTGCAGGCTGTTAGCGCATACTTTGGGTTGGGTGTAACATCGATGAATGAAATTAGTTAAATAAACATCGACAGCCTGCTTGGAATAGATGCTAATCCACGGTAGTCTTTTTGTATCGATGTTCGGTGGTAGTATTCATTACATTGATGACGGAACTTCACTCGGTTTGTATAATACAGTTCAATTTATTTTTTTAATCACTTGTTTCTTCATTGATTGCTTGTTGTATACAGATTTTCAAATCGCATAGCTAGATATTTATGGATCTAAGAAGAACACACGTTACATAATCTCTAACATTTGCGAATTTCAATCAAATACCTATTCCATCGTAAACACAAAAAATCATTATTCTATCAAATATTTCGAAAGTATCTTGTCCTATTTAATAAAAAATAAATGTCGATTTTGCCGTAACCAAAATGGAAATTTCCGACATTTACGTTATACTCAACCTCAATACCAAAAACTAATGAGTCCTGACAAGCAGGTAGTGTCAATCCATTTCATTACCCTAGATAAACCCAAGCCATATACGAATTGAGTATTCTATGAAAAAAAAATACATAGATGGATTAGTCAAGTACTCTTAATCGTGTGTCCTATAATTTCAGCTTTAAGGTACCAATCTACCACGATGTAGATAAGCGACCCATGCTCAGTGAGCGCCTAAAGCTTGTTCAGGCAAATACCATATTCAGAAAGCAAATAGGACAGCACCCGTCAGTTACTCTTGATAGAACAAAAATTATATCACCAAATTCACTTAACTTTTAACTCTGAACGAATCTGACACCACTGGTGAATAGATTACTGCAACTGAGCAATGAATACGATCAGCAATACTAAAAAACTAGCCTTGATGCGGTATAATGGGTGATGCACTGTTGAGTGGATTTTTTTCGTATAAATAGGTCACATAATATGGCAAGGCTAAACATGAAATCAATGTTTAATCTATGGAGGTGTGGGACAAGTATGGGTTTCGTATCGCATATACAACAGTCGCACACGCTGGTTTCAAGCATCTTTTCATTCAGATTTTTTACGTACGGTCTTTTTGAACTTACGTACTCATTCACTCATATACAGGTAAATGTATAGTAGATTTAATTAGTCAATTAACTAACACTGACGAAAACGTACCTATGCCAATTCATAAGCCTACTTACAAGTAGTAGCAACACAACGACTGCATTGCTTGCAAACATCTAGAGAGGGGGGATCTTGACCTCCCCTGCGGATGATCGTGGCCTATTTTTCTGCATTTTTTTTTGAAGCAAAAAACAACATAGTCTTTCAAAGACCACATTTACTGTCTAGACTTTAAATATCTAACTGATAATTTCATTCGGTTTGATCGTCAGTGGTGATCATTTTCTGTGACATCTTCTCTGCTTTTCGAGCCCATTTAGCCTTCTTTTTGTCGGACAACTCCTCAAAGGCGGCCGTGATCGATCTTAGCAGCTGAAAGTGTAAGTGGAATAGATTTTAATATGACATATTCAAATAATTTCATAATGATACATTTAGTCTAGCTTTGTATAGAGGATAATGATAACATACATATTATTTTAGTCAGGACTTTTTCGCAGCAGACCGTATCTTTCCAAGATAAGATATATGGAAAAACTGGACGAGCTACTAGTCTTATGTAATTATCTTTTTGAATAATACGTCATTGAATTTAATACTACACGACTTTGGACTTGGCAAGACTTGTCTGATCATAAAAATGTGAAGATAGATAAGATAACCATAAACTAGCAATAATGATATGATCTTCGACATCGGTGTCATTTTTAACTGTTGCCTTGGTTTTTTCACAAATAAAGCAGCGTTGTTCATAATCGTAATCGACATACTTTTTTATCTGATAAGCCGGGGTTGATCTCGCGCCAATTTGCTAATTCACTCTCCTGATAGCACTTTAAAGCCGTGATCTTTGTCGAGGCTTGGGTGATCTTTTCTGGTGAAGCTATCTTGATAGGAGACGTTGAAGTTCTTGGGTTAGACTTTTGTTTAGATTTAGATGGGGCCAAAGCGCTTTCAGCATCCCCCTCACTCTCATCAAAGGCTGCTTCCTTTCTTTTTAAGGGCAAATTTTGTTTTGTAGGCGACTCCTTCGTGGACGACGTCCCCGATCCTAATGTCGATTGTGATTTTGGGGTATCGAGTTCTACTTGTCCATTCCTCTGTGCTTCTGGCATCCAAAGACAACTGAAACAATTGGAATGGTCGTTTTCTAAAGTTAGCATTCGAGCGACCAGATCCATTCTCAGTGCTGATTCTGCTTTTGATTAATTTGTACCTCACAAAGGCCAATGAGTAAATGGCATCGCATATGAATGTAACGACCAAAAAGCTAATCACCAATTTGACAAACAAAAATGAGAATTTACTTTTTGAAACAGTCTTAATGTCCTAAATAATAGATTTTTTTAAAACTCTATTTAGTTATCCATAGGATTAGAAAGGTAAAAAAACATTTACTGTACACTAATTTTTATACAAAGATCTTTTAGTTCAGACAATCAACGTGCAATTCGGTAATGTACCTTCCGGGGCCGTTTTCGATAAGAAGTTGCTCCCGATGCTTGAGTTTTTTTAGGTATTCAGCCATGTCATTGTCAAATGCCTGTTTCATTAGCTTGATCTCATTATTAAATTTATTCTGTTCGGCTCGCGACATCATCGACCACCGATTGTGATACTCCTCTGCAAAGCGTGTTTAGGAAAACGTAAAGTTTACTTTAGTCATAGCCGTTAAATTATTATTTTATCAGAACCGAGTGCTTTTTTAGGTATTCTGAAGAACATCAAAAGCTAAGTCATTTTTCATCTGGATCTTGCTTAAAATGGTTACCTGCTCCCAAATTGCATAGTGGGGTCAATAGAAAAATTATATTTTTTACCATGAAAAGGGTTTTTTCAGATGTGTCACTTTCGTTTTGGTATTTTCTCGTCAGATTAAGCCTATACACCAAAAATTGGGGCTATTTTTGAGGTGACTATGTCTATATACATATATATAGGTTTTCAAAAAAGTATTGACCGTTCTTCTCGCTAGAAGCCTTAGGGACCACATATCACAGGTAATATGAGTCTTGTCATTTGACGTCATTTGGAAGCTAAGACTTGGTAGTATATATGCTAAGATTGTTGAAATGCCTTTACTGAAACTTAAAATAGAGCGTCTTCAAGTTTAGTGAAATTTTTGCAAAAATGCTGTATTTCAAAAATTTTATTACAGTCTGGTCACAAATGGTGCCCAGGTCCATAAAAAAGCGTGCTGGTTATGATCAAAATGTGTTATGGAAAGAAACAGTTCAAAACTGTGAAATTTCGATGTAAGGGATGCTTCTTGTGCTAGTCGACAAACTATGAAAAAGGTAAACGAAATTATTGTCAAAGTCGAGCAAGACCGATACGTGATTAATCATGACACTGAATATCCACCACTAAACAAATCCTTAAACCTACAAACTATTAAAAAAGCTCGATGTTTGGGTGTCAGTCGACCATATATTTACATCTCCGAACCTTTAGAGAAAGAATGAAGTCAAGTTCTTTCTAAGACTGCTGGTGAACCGATCAGCGGACTATGTGCGACAGTAATGTGCAAATAAAACCACTATCTGTGGCAAAGCTCACACTGACGCCAGAAAAGGTGATGCTATGTGTTTAATGCGATTGGAAAAAAATCATGTACTATGATTTGCTGCCGTTTAGCGAAACTATAAGTTCGGAACTCTAACAGGGCCACAGCAAACCATTAATATAAAGGGCCAATAGACTCACTGTTTCGTTCGGCGGTGTTGAGACCTTTCAGCTCAACCGAGGCGATAGACTTAAAGAGTGCAAAACCCGTTGGGGGTGGTCGTGTTGGTTTGCCCAGGAAGCGGTCGTAGAGTTCGCGTTCATCTTTACTTAACACATCACATGTCTGAAATAGCACGTAACATCGTTAGGGAAGATGTAAGTAGGTAATGTTTATAATGACGCTGACATTGTTATTATCGCATCGTTCTGTTGATCTAAGCAAGACCCATTTTACCGTTTTTGGCATGAGAGTTGAATTTTGACTTTCTTGTAGCCGGTGAGCGTCGAGAGCAGCTTCGATGTACAAAATTTTTTTCCTATCTTTCAGCTTTGCCCATTTTTCTCGTAATTCGTCTTTGGTCGCCTGTAACAAATCATTTGGTTATATTGTCTCGGACGATTGCACAGTCTAGTACTACTCTTAGTGCAGTCTAAAACTACATCGACCTCTGATTGTCACCTAAAGCACCTTTACTGCCCAATTGTGATATACAATGCTACTAGTAAAATTTTATCGAGCTGTTCATTTCTATAAGATAATACATTTTTGATCGCTTATTAATATAAATGTTGTTTTTGTACCTATAATGACAGAATTGTGTAAACGATAAAGTTGCATTAAAAGTTATCTGCTGATTCATTGTATTTTCAACATATGGAATCACTGTCATATGCTTCTCATGACGTGTTTGAAGTATACGTGTGTCTTAATAAGACTGAGTCACCAGATAAAGTTAACTGCTTGTGTAACACTTTTACGCTTTAACCTGAATCTTTACACAAGCTTGAAAATGCAACTATATTTAACCTATCTTATTAGCATTTATAAAGTATGGCTATCTTTCCTTATGACCCTTTTTTAAAACAGTAGGAAAACGCTGTAGGTTTGACGAAGTATTTTTTTCACTATGTATTTACACGGTTCGCTTTTTAACAAATTGCTCAAACAATGCAGAAAAACGCGCATCAAAATTAATGCAACGTATTAACTAGAATACACCAACATTAGCGAATTTCGGATCCTTGATTTTCTCTTCGACGAAGTGCATAAACCCGGTTCCGGTACCGGATCTGCTGCCACCCAGACTGCTGTTTACCGGCCGCGAATATGGAGCTGCTTCTGGGTGCTCAGCGTAGAATTTCTCCAAACGGGCCACATAGTCTTCACTTTCCCGTTGATATTCAGCCTTCATCTGAAAATCAATAGAAGTCACAAAAACATTGATATTAGCTCTAAGATGAAACGCTGCTAGATAAATTAAGTGCCCACACCTCAGCCACCGCCTTCTGCGTCGCAAAATCTAGGAGACATGATTGTAATAAAAGTCATTCAGTTTTGGCTTGGTCGAGGTATGGTTCCCCTAATCACGCATTCTATTTCCTGTCAGTTTTCGATAGTAGATTGGTTATTGTTTAACGAAAAAATTTCTATCTAGTCATTTTAGTTTCATATTGTGAGAGCAACAAAAAACACCGTAACAGTAGTACTAATCTGAATATACCTTGAAAAATATAATACTAAAGGTATCTTATTATACTGCTCGCGGCATCATGCGGGAACATTATGAGTTTACGGGGACGGTTTTAGGTACACGGTCACAGGATGCCCTTAGTGTTTAACTTTACTATGCATAGTGAAGCAAACTTTTCTGCTAATACGAACCTCTTCAATTTTCGCTGGTGGTACTGTTTTGTACATTTCACCGATTTTCCGTACAATGTCTCTATGTGCCATAGATGGATATTTAAGTTTCATTTTAGGAATCTGTGTCGTCATATAGCTGAAGTAAAAATAATGCATAAGATTAGTAAATTTTAGTATTTTAATATGATTTTGGTATATTTTCCGTGGCTAACATTAATTTCTATTCGTCATAGTGATATTTAATTACACATTTTAAAAGGATTAGGTGATACTATGTTGGCTCAAAAAGGTCGTGCGAAACACCCAAATAATACATTACTTTTTTTTTTAATAGCTATATAATTATGCGTAATTTACGCAGAGAAAACGCACAGTGTAAAAAAAGTCTAATAATAATAATAAAAATACTTTGAACAAAATAATAATATGCAATAATTATATTACCTATCATAGCAGTAATACAAATTGATGATCCAAAAATCGAAAATCCGCCGGATTTGCTTGTAACCAACTAACATATATGCTCTATCTTTTTTTTAGACCACAATCATGACCAGTGATGTCATTTAAATAGCGGTGCCTCCAATCATTGCACTATGGCGCCGTATTTTTTCGTTGTCAGACTACGGTGGCTTAACTTAAATGATCAACAAACCGTATAAAAATTGAAGCCGGTTTTGTTGGCTTGTCCGGATGATCTGTGAAGGCTTGTTTCGCTTTACGGGGATTCGACTCCAGCCACCGCTCCGTGTCCGTAAGCATTTCTGACAGTGTACGAAAGTTCCTGTATAGGAAACGGGACAAATGAGGCACGATGAATAAAAGAAGTAATATATATATAGGATTATGGTAGGATACATGCCGGGAATGTCCTTTGGACTGTTCTTGACCTTGTTCATTTTAGACGACATCTAACAGGTTATAGCTAATTTGAAGGTTGTTTTATAAAAATAACGACATTAAATATATCGTTAAGTAGCATGGGTAAAACGACTCTATCAGATGTTGCCTATGGTCAAATTAAAACATGCATGTAATTAATCCTTACAGAGCTATTGCACTTCTACATTAAATGGTTTTATTTGTATATGTAGGCTCAAATTGAAGAGAAATAGTTATGACGAAAATCCTGGAAAAAACCCAAGTTTATGCTAAAAAGTATGATTTTTTTTAACACTGAAAAACTGCTGAGCTTCGTATTCGCGTAGACTAATTAGGCAACAACACCTTACCTACTTTTAAAAATCCTTTAACGCATTTTATTTCGATTGTGTTTTTTTTGTATGCAAAACTAATTTCTGGGATTTGCTTTTATTTTCAAATAATTTCATTACCTAATTTATGCGCTCGTCATTCTCAAATATTTTTGTTACGATCGGATTCAAACTTTAGAAGTCAGACAAGTAGCTTTAAATCTTTTGAAACATTAATGATATACCGATATCGGGGTCGGCGATAGGCCGCCCCTCAAGTAATTGAACAACGATACCCCTAAATAATACTCATTAATGTTTTGCAGCTTTACCTCACGTTAGCTGAAAGTTGTTGCCATTTAATGCGGCACTCCTCGTTACTTCGTCCATTGAAAGCCACCTCATTCCAGTCCAGACGAGCTTCAGCCTTACCATACGGGGTTGTTGCTAGACGCTGTAGCCGCAAGCTGGCCCTAAAAGTTGAGTTGTGACAGATTATTGCATCGTTCACAACTGTGGTGGGTATTCCGAGCTCACTAATGTTAGCATACTTAGGTAACTTTTACCAGAACAAGTAAAGAGCAAAATAAACTATACGAACTCTTGCATACGTCTGCAGAGGGTTTTGAGATCATCCACAGGCCAGTCGTATATAACTAGTCGACTACCGACGGGCCCGCCACGCTTGGCTCGTGTAGGCGTTACTGTCTTTTGTCGCTTTGTGGGACAATTGTCATCATGAGCCGTATCGAAACTAAAGCTCATGTCCTCCATCTGAGAAATTGTAAGATAAATAGGTTCAAATAATATGTTAGCTTTGTAAAAGCAGAACAGGCGTTAGTGGACTCCATAGGCTCATCCGCTGGGATTTGCTGCACGCCCTTTTTGCTATTATTTTTACATATTGTTTTATATTTGTTGAGACAAAAGGCTAATTATATTTATAATAAAAATTTATACATATAATATTCCTTAAGTTTTCTAGAGTATCTTCGGTTAAACCTTCCAGTGGGGGCAAGTTTTTGATACTATACCGAAAATATATATATCAGCGCGGATGATTCTGGTGTTCTTCACCTCTGGTATAAAACTGTTTTTAAACATGGAAATAAGCAAAAATTACTGCTGTCAGTTAAAATTAACCAAACTGATTACATACTATTTTATCCTTCGCTGTTTTCTCTGACACTTCTGAGTGAAAAAAAAACAAGGGTCACCGATTCATGGCCTGCCAATGATGTAAACAATATCTGACGACAAGTATGATTAAAAAATAAACCTTATTATATTCTTTCTTTGTTTGAACAGCGTTCCCAATACAGTTTCCATTAATGTATCAGCTTATCTGTTACCTGCTGGCCCATTTTCTTCAAAGCGTAAATACTTGTTGAACACATGTTGTTACCGTAAAATATTCCAAGTATAAAACCATTACATTGTGTATTTTATTTGCATAGGGTACTAGCAACCTTTTTAAATGGCCGTTCCCGCTTTAAGCACTAATGGCATATGCTCGTAGATCCAAACGCAAGTGAATTCCTACTGGTTATAGGTACTCACAGAATTGTCCGTTGTTCGATTGGCTTTGAACAGAATATTGCCGACAGCTACACTGTTAATATTGTTTTGTAACCTGCCTTATGGCGGGGAATTGCCGAGTATTTCTTTTTTCAAGTTGACACACTCCACAACTATCACAACGCCTAAATAATAAGACGGGAAACCAGACTTTTGTTTTTTGGAGAGCGTCTGCGCCTACTTGGAGCACAGGAAGAATCGAACCTTTTTCACTGGCATAGTAATGCTAATAACAGGCAACATAATAATGTTGATTCTTATTGTTGTCATTAGGTCGGTTGTTTGCAATAAGAAAGGAGGCGACCAAGCGAGATGATTGAGTCGCTGTAGGTGAGAAGCTCCGTGCTTTGTCGACTGTTTTGAAGGCTTGCGCGGGAATCGCAGACGGCGTTCGAATGGATGCATTTGATTGTTGCTAGCTTTAAAGGCCTGAGATTTGCGACGTGTTTGCGCTTCGTACGTCTAGGTATTCTTTTGGTCCTCGTAATGATGCACTGCTAGCTTACTAAACTAAAAAAAAGATGGGGTAGTGTAGGCTCGAAACCTGATGTAAGGACACTTCGTTTCGTGTTAAAAAGGGCCGACCATCTGACGCAGTGTTTAACATGGCAGTAAATTCAGCTAACGTTGTTGTTAGTGCACGCTTACGACAGCTTCAGTTTCACAGTACGAAGAAAATATTCCAGAGGCTCGGTCTGCTGTCAGGCATTAAACCTTTAAGACATTAAAATAGAGGTACAGGGCTCAACAAAGAATAATCGGCATATTAGTACCATATTTGTGCTTTCCTTTGGTGCAAACTGTATCTTTTACTTGCGCGATAAAAGGGTTAGATGTGCATATCGCAACTGACTTCTTTACATGTGTTTATATGAATTTACTTTACTCAAACATTTATCAAAATCGAACGGTAAATTCTTCTTCTGAACACACAACACAAAGGGGTGCTTTATTTTTTTGATACAAGCTGTGGCCTTAAATTTATAAAAAAATAAGTCATCTGTCTGTACCATTGAAATTAAACAAACATCAACTAAATCATCTTTACATGAAGTACAGATAGATTTGATACTGGCCGTCCCGTCATAGCCATTCCAAGGCTATGGATTACATTACAGGACATCATGTTTGACGTTAATAGATGGTTCGAAAGATCTAACTGTAAGTTACCATAGTTTCCTACACAGTTCGTTACAGGGCACGCGTTTTTTACAGCTACCTACAGCATGTAGAAAAAAACATACTCAACATTTTTTGTGCTGGGGGCGAAAAAATATTTCGCCCTACACAGAATAGTCTAATGCACTGCGCTCAACCGCAATCATAAAGCTTTTACATACGCTTTGAAGTTAAAAAGTCTTAACAGAGGGGGGTGAACGAGTTCGTACACCTCCTAGGCGCATACAGAGGAGTGATGGAGAAGCTAAAACAAATTAGTTAGAAAACTTAGTAGAAAAATAAACAGCTGAAAGCAAGAGCGGCAAGATTTGCAGTAGTAGAAAAAGCGAAGTACCTCAGCAAGAAGGGCCACCAGTCCGCTGATTTAGCAGAAGGATGGGGCAAAGTGAATGGCAAATCGAAGCCAAAAAGACGCAAGTAGATAGCCCAGCACGATTTTAAGAGGTAGGACCCGATGACCAGCTAGGCCAGCAGGCGCAGGATACTCATATACAGTTGAGTACGTTCGGAGAGGGCGGGGTAAAGCATGCGAATCTCGTATACGGGAATTCGACAGGAGGGCAATACGGAAAATAACTAGTAAACAGAAAAACTGAATATAGCCCTCTCTGCGAACTTTAGTTTGAAGAAATATCAAATAGAATCGATTCCAAGCCAAGACCTAAAAGTACGAAGTACTGGATATAGTGGGTGACAGTTTCCCATAACTTAGCAAATACCTTTATAGTGAAGCTTGGTCTGCATAATGCATGAAACCTCATATTCTAAAATAGGTTTCTTCAAATTTAAGATCACTTCGAAATACGTAATTGAAAGATTTGTTTATAATCGGCATCAGAAAAGTAAAACTCAACAAAATGAGCACGTTTAAGCTGTTGATTTCCTTTACGTTCGGTGTCTAAAAAATGTATTGTAATGTCAACATGCGAAATGCTATTGTCATAGTAAACTTTTATACAGAAATAAATGGCAGCGTCTTTTCAGGATTCTGTTTCTGGTTTGAATCTTGACGTATAAGATGAACTTTTTTTCTAGTTGCATCAGGAGACCATTGATTTCTTTTTTCATGCCCGCCTGACGGCTTTATGGACTTACATAACGACTAATGATCATTTCAAACGACCTAAAAAAATCTGGACTATGAAATGTTTCAAGGCAAGCCATCTATATGTGATCGTATTTTAATGTTTCCTATAGTGCTGTTAAGTACAATGTATTCCGATTTTAAAGTAGTGAGACCTGATTTCACGGACATGACTAACCAATTAATAACAGTAGAAAATTCGAGTTGGGTCCGGCGCCTAGTTAACCAATTTAGCAGTCGGAGATCCCTTATTTAAGTCCTGATATGTACTCCACCAAGCCCGCTCAAAAGTATAGTCTAATTTATAATACATAGGGTTTCATGACAAAGATACTGAGAACACACGACCTTCAATGCCATAGTTAAATAGTATTTATCTATTTTAATACATAACAAACACGTTCGAGCTGCGACAACGCTGATGCGGTGCTCCTCCACAGACATTCGAGTTACCTCATCCAGGCGGTATGGTTTTTTTTATTGTGATTATTATTATTATAATAACAAAAAGATGTAACATATCATATAACAGCTTCTCAGAGTCTGGCCCCGATGACGGCTAAATTCGCACGATATTGTTATTATTATTTTTATGATGGCGGCGACGACGACAGCGATGATAATGATTATATAAATGGCGAGTACTGAATATCAATATCCTAATGAAACTCGTCAACAACAACAATAGTTTCACATATGCGTATAGATAAATGATGAACCTATACAGGTGATGGCGTGCTATCAAATGACTGAGCCCCGCGCATAGTGTAATGACGATCAACGATGTGCGATTTTCAACTGGTATACACACATTGTGAACTTTATAACCGGATCTAATGGATTAATTCACTTCGATAACTTTACTCTTCGTGAAGTTCATCTTTTGCTACAGCCGAACCTAGAGGAATGCCTGCAGAGGCGAGCATACAAAAGGACAGAAGTAGGTGAGAACTTTTACATAAATCGTTCAATTTTCTAAAGCCCACTTTAAAGTCTTTGCGCTGATCCGATATCATATGATAGCAGAGCAGGATGACTAAAGCGCTGATTCGTAGCGTATGGGAACAAGTCTTGATTTGTTGATGGCTGTGTCTGCTGTCGTGGCAATTGATACGAGGCCTGCTGGAACCTCGAACCTTGTTGATAAGGGCTTGAGAACTGCGGTGTTTGGAAGCCTTGCGCAATCGGGAATTGCCCTGAGACACCGTATTGGGTATGGTAGGAAAACTGCGAAGGTGGTGTATGTTGGAACCGAAATGTACGCTGTTGTTCGGGTACGTATTGGGAATCAATTTGTTGTTGATGCGGTGGAAAATGTTTCTCGATTGGCACTCGTCTAGCCTCCTGATAAATGGAGTTTGTTAACTGATCATATAGTGACTGAGGACTGCGCACGTGTTGAGCGAACGGATTGTTTAATGGGTGATTAAACTGACTGACAATAGGTGATTGTTGCTGAATAAGCGTCGGAGGCGGGATTTGTTGTGGCCGTTGGATCTGAGTAGAGATTTGGCTCGAAGGGGTGACGGGCTCTGGAAAGACGGAAGCAGGCATGGATCCTTTTAAAGGAGCTATCGGTGCTGGACGTAAGGGGGGAAGCACGGGGGCTCGTTCTGGAACTACTGGGGTACGTGTCTGAACCAGCTCGTTTAGAACTAACGGTTGGTTCTGTAGTACTGGTGCAACTGTCGTCCTAAATTTCCTCTTGACCTTGCGGCGTCGTTTTTGCTCGGGAGGAAACGCAATGACGTCTTTAAACGTTGGTGAAGTCGAGTCAGACGGTGGAATCACCCGACGACGAGGTGCAGTTGGTCGGGGTGTGAATGCCGCGGGAAGAGGCGTCGTTGTTCGAATTACTACCCGAGTGCGCGCCAGTTGCCTTTGACGAACCGGTGGTCGGCTAGAGTCATTGCCGAAGCTGCCGGGTCTCGGCGTAAGACGCAGACTGGACCCATCAATATTAATGGGTCGTCGGATGCGAAGTCGGTTGGGCCGCGGAGAACCCGTTGGTCGGAGCGACCCCGATGTAACAACACGTAATCCGAAGTTTCTTTGCGGCTTCAACTCATCGTTATCCTCGTCATCGTTAGCGTCATTGGTTACGGCGCGTTGTTGGCGTCTTTTGTTGAACAATTGAAAATCAGAATTATATTCCGTTAGAAAGGGGGGGGGGGGGGTAAAAAGATCAATCTAAACCCAGAATCAACGTCAAATGTTAGGTCGGGTGTAAGCTGCGGGACCTAACCATAGCTCTTACTTTGCTGTAAATTCTTCTGTATCAAGAAAAAATTGAATACTGACTACACTCTACGAATCGTATGTATTATAATTTCCGGCATTACGTAAGCACGTAGAACCGGAACAGCCTTTGTACCGTTTAGGAAGAGGTTGAGAAGGGCCTTTGATCAGAGGAGCGTCGGGAGTGATTCGCAGTGCCGATTGCTGCACAGCAATATCTTGGTCCGGCCTCGAGATTACTGAAACGAACAATTAAATAATTGTTCGACAAGTAACAAATTGAAATTGATTGATCGCAAGAAAACAGTTGCAAAGCGATTGACTTAATGGTAGAAGGCCTCAAAATTGTGGATATGGGACCAAATAGAGATGAAAAAAGAATAGACTACCTTATAATATTGATTTATACGTAGTGTGCCGTTTCCCTGCAGACAATTCCGTTTGTACTTACCCTGCATATGTAACCCTCCCTGCGCTTGCGCACGCCCATCGCCAAAATTATTTTGCCCTCCAACAGCCTGAGTACGCTTACTCTTTGCTTCGTTCCCCAACAAAGTCTTAAATCCTTTATTAAGACCATCGTTATGCACAATAATCTGCTTGCCGTTCGAATCGGCGTTACTATACGAGCCGCGTACGGTTCCATTAGGACCGCGTGTCTCTCGCCTAAAGGACTCATCTTCATTTGGACTTTTTGCCGTATCGTAACCGAACTTATAATCGCCTTCAGGTTTTGCCTTAACACGAACATAGTGCACATGTGCGGGACGATGAAAGATCGCGGGCTTTTTCTTTGTCTGCTGAGAAGAATCCGAGGACGAAGTTTGCCGTGGCGGCGAATATGATCGAACTGCAAGAACAGCCGCATCGAACGGAAGTCTTACCGTACCCACAAAGCCATTTCGCGGCCTTTGAGGTTCAGGGGGCTGTTGTTGCTGTTGGAGTGGCTGATACTTTTGTGGAGGAGGTTGATATTGTTGTGAAGGGGGTTGATATTGACGTGGAGGAAACTGGTACCGTTGTCTTGCGGAAGATTGGTTTTGGGGCAGAAAGACTAGTGGAACTTGATATGGCTGCGATGTAGGTGGAGGCTTATAAGGGCGGACGTTAGCAATAGGCCGCGGCTGAAATGTCTGGAAACGATATTGGGGAGGCACGGTAGGATATTGAAACCGAGCTGACTCGTATTGCTGAACAGGAGCTTGATAACGGGCTACTGGTGTGGAGGGTGTGGGTGCGCGGAATGTAAAACGTTGATATAGAGCGGGCTGATCCCGTATGAGCTGGTATCGGGGTGTCTGTAACTAAGATTGACGTTAGTTAATCGTCATGAATAAGGCACAAAAACTTGTGTTTTTTGGTCTCTGGCAGATTATGAGCTTGGAGTGCCTCATAACGTAACACTTTGCGGTCTCTTGGATCTAGAACGAAAGCCATAAGGTCCATACGGTCTTAAATAAAGTTTTGAAACCTTAAAGCTACGCAACCTTCATATACGCACGTGGCCTTTCGGCATGTTTGGCATATGATAACATTTTTTTCTTTCAGAGGGAACATTTCTCCCTTCCAGGCTAAGCCTGATAATTAATATGATGATTAATAACCTGGTATCTCTGGTCGTGGCCATTATCCTTATTTCGAAGATAAATTTTTTAGTGCGAATGATCTCCAAAAAATTTTCCCTGCTGTCGTCCAGATTAAATGTCACTTACGTCAAACTGATTAATGATACTAGCCTCACTGTTACTACATATGATAAAAAGACTTGACAGAAAAAGTGCGATATACGTTAACATATGTTGTCAATCGAGTACGCTAATGAAGCAGTATCAGACTAACCTGAAAATCTGGTTTCGTCGCTGGAAAGCCCTTGGAGACCTCGTTTAACGATTGACTAACCTCGTAATTACCATTCGAGTTACTGAAATATTGTACAGAAGAAAATTGTATATGAGAACAGAATAATTTATGCCCCTTTGTAATTATGTGAACTTCTGAATGAGTTATCTTCGAGCTTCACTTCGATAAAAATATGTTTACATTTATAAATGCGTGTACGTAAGGATTTTAACTACCTCTGTGCGGTGGTTCCGTGGCCGAAATCGCTCTTCGTTGTCGGAGAATTTCTAGCATATTGGTCGAAGTTCGTAAAAGGTTGGAACTTGTTTCCAAAGTTACCCGATGACTGGGAAGGAACCTTGAATGGAAATTGTGCACCGACAAGTGCCCATAACGCCACGTTCGTGGCGAGCAGCTGTACCTGTTTGTGTAAATGTCATGTGAGCAAGTTAAACTCCGGATTAAGTTGCTTCCGCGCAAACACTAGGATCATTTGTCACCTAAGCACAGCGCAAATTCAAAGATATCTTTTCACCGTATGTATGAACTACTTTTAATTGGAAGAGTTTTTTTTTGGAATTTTTCGAGATTAAGTTCGCAAAATAATCAAGTAGATTATTTAGAAAAGTCTGTGCCATGTAGAGAAGCATTTCGAAACGTTTTTCAAATTAGAATGTACGATGCCGCAAGGATGAATTAGTGGAAAAAATTGTGTAACTTTATTTTGTTTCTATATCGAACATATAGTACTAACGAGTTTTGTCTCGTAAAAAAATAGAAAACAGTATCTAGAAACCGAAATAATAACAAGTACCAACTTGTTGTACTCGTCGTTTGAGCGTGTTTTCTGTAGAGCCTTTGAAATTATCCCCTAGTGGTTCTAATTAGAATACATTACTGTTTGGTCAGACTGATGTCCAGTTAGCCACCGTCAACGACAAAAGCCTCTACCCACCCTTTTATTAACGGGGCCGGTGTACGCACGTAACAAAGAACTTCATTTAATCTTTCTTCTCTTCGTTTTCAGAAGCAACTGTCAAAATGATTTATGTCCTCAGACAATTTGTCTCTATAAACGTAGTCTGTTAGTATCATATAATTGGTTGCAAATTATTATTATTGGGAATGTTATCAGGCGTCTTTGGCCTTGTACTGTTGGCCCACGCAGGCATTCTGTCAGTCTTACTTTTAACAAACGCTCATGTCTTCTAGCAGCAATGGGGCATTCGTAGTCAATAATTAGACACGTTGCACGTACCGTCTCGCCAGTTAATGAGCTAGGGAAAATAAGAACGAAGATCTTGCGCGCAGCTTCCCAATGACTAGACGCGTTTCACACAAAATTTGCCAGGATGTGATCACCTTCAGCGAGAAATAGATTTAGTTGACTCTTCGATTGATTTAATTTGTTCCGCCCACGTGACAGCAGTAATTTAAATAAAAATGACAAAAATACATAATTTCGAATAAATAGTTTCGCGTATATGAACGATGTCGAAATAAATAATCAGTTCGTTTAAATGGTGATTTGAAGCTATAATGTGAGTGTTAAATGGTTGACCAATCATTGACGAAATTGCCCGTAAAGGTCAGGCAAAACTTTAAAAATCACATAGTCACATGAGCAGTAAACACTTCATAATTGTACCAATTTTCTACTTCCTTTTAGAGTCACACTTAAAAAATGGTCTCTTACTTGACCAGACAAAAATCGAATAAATATCTGTAGGAGTATGTTACATTATTAACAAGCGGCTTGATGAATGTGATTAATACTTACTCAGTCTATTAAATTTCCGATAGATCGACAACTAAAAGAAGATATGCCTGCCTACAACAAGTGTCGATGTAATGCGTACGTTATTCAAGAGACGCAATGGCGATCCCCTAACCTTACTAGGAGATCACATTAAGCATTCGAAGTTTTCCAGACCTGCTGAAGGCTGAAAGGCTTATTTACTAAGAATGTAAAAATAAAAGCTTACTTGAGCATACTACCGTACATAAAGAAAGCACTACAGGATCAGCTACCGTAAATTTATTCTTTTCGTTTCGGTGGAAGAACTTACGTATGACTTAACGGCCTGACTGAGTAGTGTGAACAATTGTTTTCGGCTTAAAGGAAGTGGCGAAAGTAAAATAACAGGCTTGTGCACATTGTCTCATTCTCTAATAGTGAGGGCATACGTGAAACTAATCAAGTCATGGCCCTTAACGACAATGTATATTTATTATTTGGTTCATACACGACAAACTGCTTTGTGTGGGGGTTGCCTGGTTCTTTTTGAGAGAAGGTACGTACACACACACTCACCCTTCCACAATGTGACCTTCGGTTCTTTTTGCCATCGCTCTCCTATCTTATGTAAAATACAGTATTACCTAATTATTGCGCTGATTAGCGTGGCTGCCGCGACCGCAGCTGGAACTGTCGCCTCGGCCGTTGGTAAACGTACTAGAACCAGTGTAATGCAAGCCATGTACAACATGATTGCGTCCCTGGTACACTTTTATAACACATAGTAATACAAAACATATGTATATGTCGTCAACATACGCGAATCGGTGACTCGTCTGTAGAACGAACAATTTTTGTGCAATGTCCCGCTATTACTAACGGTTTCTGTAACCAGGCCGATCCATTGGATCGTCGCCCAAATCTAAGTCACGCTCTTCTGAGTAGCAGTTCGGAAAAGTTCTGCGACTTTAGCTTTTCTTAGTATTGCAACTGGCAAAACCGAAGTTTTCGGCCATCGCTAGAGGCCATTGTATGATAGCTGAAGGAAAAACTAGAGCGGGATCTAGATATGGGCCTTGACTTGCTAGTATACTTCATCTTAAAGTGTCTGCTGCACAATACATTCAGATGGTAATCGTACGTATATGTGCATAACTGAAACCAGCGCTATGATGCCACTTTCTCCTGGCGACCATGTATTAGGCTTCGTCCAACGTAAAAGTCGCTACTGAAACTACCGTTGCTTTCGTCATAACGGCGACGCGTGTCGCTCCTTCAGACCCATAGTTCTTCGCCACATGAGCATCAGTGGCCGCGCGGTTTTTGGTGATCGGCAACGACGGTGGCGGTGACCAGAACCATAAGTAGCAGCAGCGGCATAACTGCCCTACGCCGAAGCTGTTGGTGCCTTTATGCCTATTCGTCTGTGCCAAACCAGGCCATGCTGTGTTCCTGTTCTGTATGTGCCAATGTTACTGTCTAATGGCCGCAGGTCACTAATGCAAACATCCCGTATTGGGCCTATACAGAGTTTTAGCAGAATATCATTGAATCGGGGCTGGCTAATAGCTATGACAGCCGTTATTGCGACACCGTGAGGCCTGTTTGAGCAAAGTGTCATATAATTCTTGTTATTCTTACAACATGTATTATTGTCGTTTATACAAACCATCTGTGACCAAATTCAGGGGTTTGGCTGAGAAGTGTACTAGGTTTTGCAGAGCCGTGTAGAAAAGTACCAGGAAAGCTGATGTAGAGCTGACACGTGTACGCAACTAAGATCCCTTCGCCGCCCATCTGTGCTAGGACTTTAGATCGTTTTATATATAATTGCTACTTGCTCAGCCCATCCCCAACGAAAAATCAGCAACAATGAACAAAAGTGGCAGTTTGAGCTTTGTTAGTGAAACGCTGCTAAATCATGAGCGCTACATGGGCAATATGAAGCTATGGGATCTAACAAAGGACCTCCGTGGCGATCGTCCCTGTCCCAGGCGAAAGGTATATATAATGGCCGTGAGTTACGTATGCCTCAAATTATTTTATGTAGTCGATTCCTATAATACAGTGTTATATCGATTCCTCGAATATAGTGTTATTGCATTCGGTATCCTCTTGGTATATCTGCGGACGGGTTCTAGCGTTCTTCAGAGTAAATAATATTAGGCAAGATATCAGGTAATCTTAGCATTTATTTTGCATATTGTTAACGATATCGAGCAGCGAACTAGGAACTTGAGCGCATGATTTGGCATCGTACCGTATCGTATTAGTCCAACACGGCCAGCAAGTCAATGCCTGTGGCCATGAGTTTTCATAAGAACATTTTTTCACAACAATCCATTAATCACCTAAATAACCCATTCATCATCTACGTCGACTTCTAGCTTATCGTTCACGCAGAACTTGGTCAGGAGTCTTGGCGCAGCCCGTCACCTGGTTGCGTAAATATACTAGAATAAAGCTGAACGTTAGGTTAGATGTTACTGGGCATTATTTGCCGAGATTTTCTCATTGGCGTGCCATAGCTTACAGAATAATCGGGGTGACCGCTTGCGGTATCGTTGACTCTCAGAAAAGCTTTGAATTGCTTTTTCTTTTCATTGTGCGCTTTTCTTTTTATTATTAGTTTATTATTAAAAACGCAGTTATTTTAAATCAGTATCGTTGTGTTTCGGCGGCGTTATGTCCGAGTGACGCGCGACTCTTTGAAAACGTAGTGAGTGGCGGCGATCGCGGCAGTAATAACGGCAGCAGCAACCAACCGTGAAACCAGTGATGCTTACGAACCCTGCGCTCTGAACGTGACACAGAGAGCGATTACTATTGAAATTCGGTCAAAGACGGCGATGTCGGCCACAGGCAGAGAGGGACAGATAAGGTTGGCACCGACGTAACGGACCGCGTGAATGCCTTGGTGTTTACAGTTGACCATGTGCGGATTCGGCCGCTCCGTGATTTTACCGATAGGGAAGACCTATTTACAGGTGGGCATACTGGCTATGAAAGCCTTTTCTACTATAAGCTTAAGCACTCTATTAGCCCAAGTATGAATTGCTCCCGTGTATAAAACGCAAAGGAGCAAAAAAGAAAGGCGATGATGCTCGATTATAAATGAAGAAAAAGAGAGTACTTCGAGTTCTTATTAGATCGCAAATAAATATGAAACTCATACGTATTTTACATAATTGAAATTTGGGTAAAGTGAGCAGCCCATGCTCGGGCCTGGAGTATATAGTTTTTGTGTATGCCAAAAAGATAAAAAGGCGTTTTGACAGTCTAAAAGAATGGGTGCAACAATAAGCTTTTTTATCATAAAAATTACGTTTGTACGAAAAAATCAAGATTTTGGTGAAACTATCTTTGCCAGTTCGAAGTCAATACAGCATCGACTACATAAGAGAATATTGAGTAGTTTATACATTGCTCATCAAACAAGGATAGGCACGAAAATGACAATGTGCCCAGAAAAGCTCAAGTTGTGATCTTTGTAACGATTTTTACGTGCTTAAACACAGCTCTGAGCTGAATTCAGGATTAGAAGGCGTAACGCGCTGGCTGGACATGTTGACTGTTTTCAGCTGTTTAAAACGAACGAAATTAAAACTGGTTCTCCTTTTATATATTCACGTGCTGATGCACTGGCAGTTACACTGTGAAAAGTCGAGAAGCGTTTGCCACTG